GAAAATGAATAAAGATTGGAAAGATAAACGAGGAGGAAAAGAATAAAAGAAAGAAAGAAAGAAAGAAAGAAAGAAAGAAAGAAAGAAGGACATTGGGGAAAGAAAAATGGAGTAGAAAATGAAGGAAAAGGGAGAAAGAAACAAAGACTTAAAAGACGAAAGAAAGAAGGAAATGAAAGCAGGAAGGAATGGAAATATGAAGGAAAGAAACAAAGGAATAATGAACGGAGTAAAGAAGACAGAAAGAAAGAAGAAAAGGTAGTAAGAAGAGAATATTTATAGAAATATTGTACAATTCAAAAGAGATAACGAAAGAGATCAGGTAGAAGAAGGAAGAAAGTCTGGGAGCTATATGCAAATAAAAATATTCCACAGAGATAAGATCTAAATTGGCCTGTTGGCCGATTCCGTAGACTTTTCCCAACCGGGGCATTCTGTACGCTTTAAAGTTATGCCACCTTTCATACACCCGGCGAGTGAGCTTATCTCTGAATTCCCGTAAAAGTAAATAAAAAGGTAAGCCAAGAAATAGCGGTGAGTTAAAACGAAAAATAAGACCCATCTTCTCCTTCCCCGTTTTCTAGCAAATCATAGGCAGATTTCTTTTTCTTTCTGCTTTTAATCATTTATCTTTGGATTATTATTATTATTATTATTATTATTATTGTTGTTGTTGTTGTTATTATTATTATTATTATCATTATTATTTTGGCAGCTGTCGGATGTTGCTAAGTTTTTCAGTTGGGTCTTGGGTAAATTCTCGCAGTTGTTCTGATTTTGTCAGTACCAACCAAAACTGGAATTTTCAAAAAACCAAAGGAAAAGAAACACTTATTTTTAACTGACTTCATTACAAATACGTTAATTTAATTTCAGGCATACATACGCCCACAAAAAACGCCAAACTTAACGCATATATTCGCGTGTAACAACATGTATCCCCACCCAGGAAACAAGTGCGTTAAGTATTGTTGCACGTTAAACACTTAGTTTTTCCTCCTCCTCCTCCTCCTCCTCCTCCTTCTTCTTCTTCTTCTTCTTCTTCTTCTTCTTCGGGACGTGGCTTTCAGGACGTGGGCGATCATGAACTGCCACAATTACCTGTAGCTCTTATTAAAGTTTTGTCTTTTGGTTATCTCACTCCACCCGGTTCTGCCTATAAGGCTATGTCTTGTGAGTGTTACATTTTCCAAGCCCTCTTTTGTCATTATGTTCCCTAGAAACTTCAGTAGGTTCTTCTGATGTTAATTATAAGTGTCCTCTTTGTTTCCACTTTCTCTCTAAAACTTTGCGAACATGCTCAGTACATGCTAGTCTCAGCATCCTTCTGTAGAACAATATTTATGTTCCTTTTCTTCGTCTGCAAAGAAATTGTCCCGCATTTATTACCATATCGCATATTGGTCTGTCTCTTTTCTTGGCGACTATACATTTTTAGGCAAGACAATGTCTAAAAATATAAATGACCAAGTAAGGAGCGAATTTTTAGATCTTATCTATTGAGTTCTTAAACAAAGATTAATATTACCACTGTGATTACCTTACCATACCTGATTAGGGGAAAGGACGTAAATCCTCTTTCTCGCTTTATCCTCTGGGGTAGGTTATTTACATGAAGTTGCCCAGTCTTCCTCCAGGAAAACACTGCCCGGACAGCCGACTACTTAACTTTAACCCGACCACATGGCACACTCAAACAGAATTTCACACACACACACACACACACACACGTACGCACAAAAACTTCCATGTATTGAATTCATTCTTTGGAAAATGTTGAATTCATTTATTTGAAAATCTTCGACTGCAGCTGTTGCAAAAAGAAAAATGATGACCTTTTCCGCGTTCGTTTTTAGGACCTGTCTATATTTCTGAGATGAGGTATTATGTACACTATTTACATTATTCGGACTATTGTCCTCATCTTTGTCGCCATAATTATTACAACGTTTCGGCCGTTGTACGCTCTGGTTTTCTTCAGCTGGTTCGCTCACTGGGGTAGACTGTTCTAGTTTCACGTGCCATGTTTAATGGATGCCAGTTATCAGTTATCTCCTGTTAATTCCCCTCTGAAAGTTCTCTACTAACTTAACCGGGTATTGAACTCACACTCTTTGGGTCCTGTCACGTTGTAATAAATATGGCGACAAAGATGAGAACAATAGTACGAATAATTTAAATAGCGTTCGTGTTTAGTTACTTCATTCAGTTTAGAGCTAAAATGTACTAGAAAATACCAAAATTACTACCCAACCTGTATTTACTAACCGGACAAGTTTTATCAAAAATAACAAAAAATAGTCTTTGCAAACATAAGCTTTTAGAAAAAAAAAATAATTTCATGACACATTTGATAATATTAAAGAGACGCTTCAAAAAATGGCTGTAAAATAGTTGAGACATATGATAAGTGGGCTAATGTTACTCCCAACATTCAAGGCTATAATTTTACCTCAGACGGACACTTTTATTTAGCCCATTATTATTATTATTATTGTTTGTGTGTTATGTTTTCAGCTTTGTATCCTGTAGAGACTGGACAAAAATATCGTTTTTAGACCCTATTGGAGAATTGTCATTTAATTGATAGAACTTTTCTTAGTATACGGGATATTTTTAGTAGGACAAATTTTCTGGACTATTTCTATATTGATATTACCTGGGACACTGTTAGTAAAATTAGGCCTTCTGTCTCAGCTTTTAACCGTTGCTTCTCAGCCACTAATCTGTTTTCTGTTGGTTCACATCGGCTTCTTTTGTTTTTTTTTTATGTATTTGCCATGCAACACTTTGTCCTCCCAGTTTTTTGTAATTTCATTTGGCATAATTGTTTTGCTTTCTGATTTAATCTTTTGGCGTAGATGGTATTTGCTTCTTTTTTTTTTTTTTTTTTTTTTTTGGTAGGATTTCTTGAAGAATCTAGATTTTTAGTTGAAAGAGTGGATTTGGTATTTTACTTTTTACGGGAGAGGTCATTGGTTTTTGTGAAGTATGCTTCCAATGCGATCGTTGTGGCTTTTAGAGTTAATTCAAGTTGGATTAGACCACCTCAACTTTCTAAAGCTCTTGGTACGTACAGCCTATCTACATCTAATTTCGAGTGGTGCATCCTCGTTTAGGTAAGAATTTTTCTGGTCTTGGCGTCTAATTTTCTATATTAAGTTTTCTGATTTCCCCCTTGTAATTCCTTGTTAAATTATGTAGGATAATCGCACTAGTGCTATTTATTGTCTTATATTCAGCTGCTCAATTAACTTTCTTTTTATATACAGTAATGTTTTTTTGCTATAGTAATGTGTTCTAATATACTGATAGGCTGTATAGAATATATATATATATATATATATATATATATATATATATATATATATATATATATAATACACTGAGAACCTTTTCTCTAAATATATTCAGACTGGATGCGAAGTGTAATCAGTGTTTTGAATACTAAAAGCAAAAGTACAAGTAATTCACTGAAGAGTTTAATAGGTAATGGCTCGGGCTGAGAAATCGGAGAGCCAAGTTCAAATGCCAGTCGGATCCGTCACATTCACTTACGCGCAAATACCCTTGAGAAAGATATGAGTCCATCTCTTTTCACCCCAAAGCTTGGTCCTATATCCTTGGTTGGCAACCAGTCTACCACAGAAAGAAACGGCAACCCTATTGCGAGAAAATCTTCTGCCTAGTTAGTCATGAATCGAAAGAGACATGATCGCCCAAGCGTGTATCACGTATGGTACTTACGTGAATGACTGAATTCACTGAAAAACAGGTTCTATTTCCAATTTCAGATGTTGGAATGCTTGTGGAAAAGTTGAGAGTGGCTTTCTGGAGCACAAATAATATATAAAATTTAACGTTCACAGCATTAATTCAAAAGAGGGCTCAATACCGATAGTAGAGCAATAATTATTTATTTTAATTTTTTGATATAAACAAAAACAATTTACTCACTACAAAGATGCAACTTCGTTTCGGTGCATTTAGTTTCACGTCGACTGGTTAGAACCAAAATGATTATTTTATTTGTAGGCAGGCCGCACGTAGAAATATATATATATATATACATCTATATATATATATTTTGCATATGTATGTGTATATTTACCACTAATATTATCTTTTTTTTTTTTTAAGCATTTCACCCCAAACAAGGCGGGAAGCCACTAGGACGCAAGGGGTTACAGAAAATATAGATCGAGATCAGATAAGAGTGATAGAAGAGGGTATGAGGAGAAGGGTAGTGGATAGATCAAGGCAACTGGAGATGTCGATTGACATTACACTTTAATATCTATATATATATATATGTACTTATAGAGGGTAAGTAACTCCACATTTTAAAATCCCATAATTTATTTATTCACCATAATTTTTACAAGAAATGGATTTCAGAGGAAATCGTTTAGCATGAGGTTTTATTTAAAATTCGATATGGGCACCAGACTTTTTTACCAGGTTCTCGAAGCGCAAAGGAATCGCGTAAACTGATTTCACCAGGAATTCTTGCGGTATGGAAGACATCATAACTTCTTGTATTCGATCTTCAAGTTCTTCCAAAATCTTGGTTTGGTATCGTAGACTTGAACCTTTAATCAACGCGAAAAAAAACGTCATTGGATATTAAATCAGGACTCCTGGCTGGCCACTCATACATAAAATAGTCAGTTAATTTTCAATCACACTGTATATATATATATATATATATATATATATATATATATATATATATATATATATATATATATATATATACCTGTGTATGTGTGTGTGTGTGTGTATAGCATGAACTTAGTATGTCCTATTCGTTAACTATTAGATCACATCGAGATAGTCGTCGTCTCTTTCTTTATTTATGGGAATAACGCTAAGAAAACGAAAGACTCTTGAAATGTTCCTCGCAAATCAAATCCACTTAAACGCGAAGCACCAAATCGAACATGAAAAAATGAAAATGGTAAAATGTTTGTCGTTTTATTTTTGTCTCTTCTAATCTTATGAAAATCATCAAAATTATTCAAATTCTTCCGTATTCCCGTTCTTACCGGTTCTTTTGCAAAGACCTCGCCTTTTCAAATATTCAAAGGATGGAATGGTAAGGAGTTGACGATAGATGTGATTCCTTTTATGGACTGTCTGTTTATATTCTCCGCAAGGCGTTAAGTAACTGTTATCTGGGATCTTCCAAATTGACTGCAGGAAAAGCTTTTTCTTGTTTTGTTCTTTCCCTTCTTTCGTGGTGTTTTCTTATCGAAATTCTTTAAATGGATTTTTTTTTCTTCTGTTTATTCGCCTTTCCTTTTAATGCATCTGTTGATATTATTCTTCTTACGTTGGTCGTATTTTTTTTCTTCTTTCTCTACTTCTACTTCCCGCCCTCTTATTCGAGTTGAATCTTTCTTTTCTTATCGAATTCAAAAGGCTTTTCTTCTTCTTCTTCTTCTTCTTCTTCTTCTTCTTCTTCTTCTTCTTCTTCTCTCCTCGTCCTCCTACTCTTATTCTTCTTTCCTTTTCCTTTACTTCCTCCTCCCCTTCCCTTTTCAGTTCTTCTCCTCATTCGTCTTCGTCAGTTTCTTTTTCTAATTCTTCTTCTTCTTCTTCTTCTTCTTCTCCTACACCTCTCCTCTATTTGTATTCTTTCTTCTTTTTTTTTGCCTCAGATTATCCTTCCAACCTCTTTTTTTTTGTGTTCTTCTTCTTTTCCCTTGGTCGATACTTTTTCCTTTTCTTCTCATCCTCCTCTCCTTTTCCTTCTTCACTTCTTCTTCTTCTTCTTCTTCTTCTTGCTATTGTTTCTTTTCTTTTTTTCCTTCCTTCTCTTCTCTCCTCTTTATTCAGTTTATTTTTCCTCTTCTAATTCTTATTTTTCTTGTTTTCCACCTCTCCTCCTCTATATGTCTATTTTTTCTTTTTTCTTTTCCATTCTTTTCTTTTCTTTTTTCTTTTCCAGCTTCTTTTTCTCCTCCTCTCGTTTTCCTTCTTCGAGTTTTCCTCTCCTTTCTTCTCCCCTTCCCCCTCCTTCTTCTTTGACTTTAGACTTTCCTTCTAAATTTTTATTTCTTTTGATCGTTTTAACTTATATTCTTATTCATCTATTTTCAGTTTTTTTGCTTCTTTTTAAAATAAATGAAAAAATAAAAAATATGTGAAGTGAAAAACTTCAATTTGAATGTCTTTTATCATTCAATTTGATGTTTTTCACTTTCATTTTTTTCATTTCTCCTTTTCATTGTTTCTTTCTTTTTCAATTGTTTCTTTTATATTTTTTCTTTTTCGTTTTCCTTTTTTTTTCATTATTACTTTTTTGTTTACTTCTTCAGCTTATACTTTAAAACTATTTCAGTCATCCTGACGAGTCTTTGTAATAAATCACTTCCCAAAACCTTTTCATTATTTGAAGAAAAAATCATTTTTATCAATTAGTCGAATAATAACATAAAACAAAAAAATACTATTTTAACACCTTCTTTTTGATTATAAGATCACATCCTGCCGTAGAGCAATGCCAATATCGATTTTTGTGAAACATATTAAATTTATTGAACATTACATAATTCACCAAAAACTAGAATTTATTTTTATCAAATTCACCCCAACTATGGAATTAAAGGTCTATCAGATTCACATGTTTTGTGGGTATCGTGATTACAGATGAAGAAACTATAGAAGGGGTTATATACATCTCACTCAACAGGGACTCAGTTGGAAGTTGGAAGTGAGGCAAGGACACTCCAGATGAAGCAAGGATATTCCAGGTTGAGGCGAAGATACTCCAGATGAGGCAAGAGTAGAATTTAAGTAGATTTTGGGTGAAGCATTCACAGCTTTATGAGCAGAAGACTGAAATATATACATCTGAAAATCATCGTTTTTCACAAGACCTAATCAGTCTAAACTCTCAGGTAAGAGATTTTCTTCATACTAATGTTCACCCAGTACAAAGCTCAAGAGCCACTCACGATAGAGGGTTTTTTTTTATATAGGAACTAGTAGCATGGCCCGGCGTTGCCCGTGCTTGATTCAATACAGCAATCGCTATCACTTGACTTAAAATATTTTGCCCTTCCTTGCCTTTAAAGGAGTGCCCTTTGCCGTGCTGATGTTGCAACATGCCTTACTTCTTGCCTATCTCACACTACGAATTTTTTCTAAGCTCTATACTAAACATTAAATCTGTTACGAAAAAAAAAAACTAAACAAAATGAACACAAAACGATCAGCTTTAAAAAAGGACTCGTAACTGAAAAAACCGAATGAAAAAAGAATGTTAACAACAAATACTTTTTCACACCCAACCCAGTTCTGCGGAATCAGAATCAACGTTGAGTTTAAGCAAGTGAATGAGCCAATTGGAGTAAAGTGGCATGCAGATTTAAATTTTTCCCATTTGTGACGAATGCAGCTATCGATTTTTTTTGCATGCTAGCATGCTAGTTAACATTCATGTCAGTCAGCTGTTGGCTCTCACGCTGGCCAATGGAATCTTCCTGACTATTCGTGGCAGCCAGCTATAGACTCTCACTCTGGTGAGTACAAAATGGCCGTAAATTACATGAAAACTGCCGTAGAAGCATAAAAAAATCGATTATTTCCACTATCGATGGGAGTTGGGAAATGCAAAGTCGTCTTGGCCTTCTCGCTAACTTGGAGCATGTGCGTGTAAATTTTGGTGCAAATCCGTCGAAAATTGCGGCCGTGGATTCGTTACACATAGATCGCCAGCGAGCAAACACGGGGATCCCCTTTTGAATAAGTAGATCACGTGATGGTAAAGGATATATATATATATATATATATATATATATATATATATATATATATATATATATATGGGAATTAGCGTGGCGTCTAATTGATCACTATTTCTACACTATCCTCTATTACTATACGGATCGCTATCTCTATACTATTCACGATACTATTTCTCTATACGGATCACTAAACGGATCAATATTCGGTGGGTACTTTTCGAGCGAGTATTATCGAGCAAGTACAAGGTGTTCCAAAAGTCTTAGGCACATTTTGACATTGAATATCTCGAAGACTATTTAGGATATAAAAACGCGCAGAACATTATTCTGAAAGAATTTAATCTTGCTTTTTACATGGAATTTTCAAAGATATTCAATGTGAGCACCGTTGATCACACGGCAAACATCAAATCTGCCATGACGAGCTGGTTTATCAGTGTCCTGCAAATATTGGGTTAACTGTAGCTTGTAAGGTGTCATGTGCAGTCGGCTTTTTAAGACATTCCAAACAGTTGTTGTAGGAAGCTGAAATTCCTTACTGGCTCTTCTGATTGATTCCCAGGGTTTATGCGTGAAGACAGTTCAAACTCACTCAACCGTATCATCTGAAGTTGAGGGGCAACCCGTTCTCTTAGCTAGGCACAAACACGCATCCTTCATGAATTTACGATGCCAACTCAATGTGGACTTCCTTTCTGGTTCCTCTTTTTGGAATTTTTTGCGAAATGCACGTTGAACAAGTGTCTGTGATTCAGTTTTTGCAAATTCAAGGACACAAAACGCCTTTTCTGGTTGAGTGAACGCCATTACTGGATCTGAAAAAATATGAAAAAATGGTACCAGTTTCATCTTACTACCATTCATAGTTTAGCAGATATGAGGACCTGAAATGTTTCCAAGAATTCTGGAACACCCTGTATTATTAATGCAATTGTTATTCGAAGGCTTCTGATACAGTATTGTTGAACGGCATTATTATAGTTGCATCTGAGATTACAAAGTCTCTACTACAACGTGCAGTACGAAAACACAACGACTATTCATTGACATTACAAAAGTGAGTGTTCGTTGACATCATAAAAGTTTACTCTGTAATGTTGTATGAGCGTAAAAATGGACAAGAAGTGAAGTTTATGAGTGCATATAGAAAAGATAACGATTAACCCTAGAATTAAAGAGGTCAGTAGTTATTGAGAAATCATACTACCGGGAGTCTGTTCCCCAAAGCAATATTTCATGGGAAGAAACTTTCCAGTTGGAACTTCATCCTTACTAATGGAATAACGATAATGGGTAGCACATGGAACTTGAGAAAGTAATCAAGAGTTTAATATTACACACTATCAAAAGAAAAGAAGCCAAAGGATTTTAAAAGCAAACTCCTATCAACAGCAAAAAGATCTATTTATATTTAGTCTACTTGAGAATCGTCCGAAAAAAAACTGTTTCAAGATAAAGAATTAAAAGATTTCAATCCACAATAACACTAATTGTTCGTTCAATGAGAAACTTTCTGTCTGGAAATGTCTATTTTTACTATTTCCATTACAATTTTAAGACGAGATCAGAAACCAAATATAAGAACATTTCGATGAGGCATTCGACAGCGATGATTTGAAGGCAGTAGTCCAATTATAAATGGTACAAATAAGGCCAATTAAGCGCCCCCTGTCGGCTGGGTCTTCAGAATACGCCGACTGTACCTCTGCAGAGTGCGGGGGGGTTAAAACTCCCCTAAATGATGCGTCCTGCGTATCACGATAAACTACATTCAACAACAAGGCCTCTGATCAGGAGGTTTTGAGGAGCGTGGAACCACCTCTTAATTGCTGGTGTTCCCAGGTCCAACCTGACCCGGGGTGGTAGCACTTGTTAGGGTCACAGCTACGAGCAAATAGTTAGCCCCCAAACTAAGGTCAAAACTCCATGAAAGTGTAAAAATAGATTTTAATACCATCAATAGGTTTTTGTAAAAAAATTATTACCAGCAATGAATTTCTGAATAAAAAAAATTATTACCAGAAATATATTATTACGAGCAAAATATTTTTAAAAATATTACCAGCAATAAGTTTTTGAAGGAAAAAATGTTACCAGAAATACATTTTTGGGAAGAAAAATATTACCAGCAATAAAGATCTTGTCGGCATTAAATAACACATTAAGTTTGTTATGCCGTAAACCAAACCAATTAAATTACTTTGTAAATATCCGATTCAATTTGCTTTAATTCTTAACCACAGAAATAGCAATTTTTACATGATTTTCAATAAACAACATAAAAATCGATTCTTTGAACAAATTCCAGATTAAAATCGATGTATTTAATTCATTTAGCCTAAAATCCTATCGTTAATGTCCATGATATTTTTCGTTTCTTCATAACTCTGGGAATGGTCTTCACCTATGTGCCGTAAGTCTAAAACGTCCTAAGACTTAATCTATTCCTACAACCACACAAAGTGAACACGCCCTCACAGTGGGATATTACAAAACCTTCCATGAAGGTAATGAAAAAAATGTCTTCTTTCTATTTCTTCGGCATATCTCTGCAGTCAGTCTTGAGCGTAATTTGCCTAGTAGAACATTCTTGCTTGACTTTCTTAATGGAGATGGAGGTGGGTGGTGACTTTCAACATCTGTTGCGGGCTCTCAGATGGTTTATAAGGCGGATAAGGCAGAAGAATGTTTTTCCACATCGCCTAGAAAGGGAGGCTTTGGCAACTGACAATCGCAGATATGAGTTGTATATTACACTCTTGAATTAATACTGTCTTCGCTATATAGGTTGCCGCATAAAAAAAAACTATCCTGCAAAATGTGGCTTTTGCTTACCACCTACATATACCGTACTTTCACTCTTTGTTCTGTCATTATAGATGTAAATATTAATGCAAATAAAAAAAATGGTGATTGCGTTTCAGAAACCCTGCCTATGATATCATGGGTTTACAGGAAAAATATTGCAATAAATAAGTATAGTAAAATAGGATAGAAAGTCGATTTGGGATTCTCGTCAAAGTGAGCGATGCTTTTTTTTTTTTAAGCATTTCACCCCAAGCAAGGCGGGAAGCCACTAGGACGCAAGGGGTTACAAAAAGTTTAGAGCAAGATCAGATAGGAGTGATAGAAGAAAGGATGAGGGTAGTGGATAGATCAAGGCAATTGGAGATGTCGATTGACATTACACTTGAATAGCTGGAGATTATAGCTCACAGAGAAACAGGAAATAGGGAAGGGAGTTCCACAGGCGAGAGGTGCGAGACATGAAGCTATTAGAGTAGAAGAGACGGCTACA